GTTTTCTTTTTCTAAAGGAATTATCAGAACATTTGACATATTATTATACATCATGACTCCCTAACAAGGTGATAAAACAGGCACCACTTGTCAAATTTATTTCTCTCTCGTCTTTTTACAAAGTAGTTTTTTATTTTTTTAAAACAAATTTATTTAAATTCAGTTTAATTAACATATACTGTATTATTAGTTTCAGAGGTAGAATCTAGTGATTCATCAGTTGCATAGAACGCCCAGTGCTCATTCCATCAAGTGCCCTCCTTAATGCTCCTCACCCAGTGACCCCATCCTCCCACCCAGTTCCCTCCCAGCAACCCTGTTTGTTTCCTGTAAGAAATAGCTTATATTTCTAGTGGAGGTTTTGTGGAGTAGACTGTGGGGAACACTGAAGTAGTAACTATGTAATCAGAGATATGCTTTAGGCTCATTAGTCTGGAGGCTGTATACATTGAGGATGAAGAAGAGAAACAGAGGCAAATAGGTTAAATACCCAGGTAAGTAAAATCCGGGTGGTGAAAGTAAATGTAGGAACATACACTGTGAAGATAAAATGGACAGGACTTTGCATTTGAATGAGCATAGGTAATAAGGACAAGAAATCGGTGGCATGAAGTCATAGGTGTTGAGGCATACATTTGGTTGAGAGTACTTTTCATGGAAATCGGTAGACTAAGCTGTACTTTAGGGACATATGGGTAGATTCACTAAAGGAATGAAAGACAACCAATTTTGCTCACAAGATAGCTGAGCCTCTGACCATCAGAGGTTCACTTACTCATCCTTCCTATAGGACTTTCCTCCCTCTTTTCCTTCCTGTCCAAGTTACCCCTCTTAGAGGTAAGGCTTATTGGATACTGAGGGAAAGTCTCCATGGCCTCTTTTTTCTATATCCCTAATGCGCATTCTTCTTAAGAGTTTTAGTGTTGATGAATAGAGGAAGTAAATATTCTAAAAGGACTCCACTTCAACATATGCTAGTCAGTTACTTAGTATGATATGATAAATAAGAGACAATAAAAAACAAACAGGAATTTACAATGTCTTTTTTTAAAAAAAACTGATATTAAGTATTGACTTTTTTGGACTATTTTTTGCATTACTCTTAGAAAATGCATCTGTTTTAGAATGCCAACATGCTATACTTAACTGCTGATATTAAACAAAAATTCATTTTGTACACTAACGTTTTTAATGACATGGGTTGCTCTTGGGAAAACTTTGTCCCTGCTTCAAGCTAATTTCATTGACAGAGGTTTATGTTGGTTCTTGACTCCATGGTACGGTCTTTGTAAAGGAACACATTGTTACTTGAACACTAGCACAGATGCTAAGAATAAGGGAAATTTAGATATTCATTGGCTCAGATTTAAAATGATGGAACATTTATGTGAACAAGGGTCTCCTCCTGTCAAACAAAGCACAATAAACCACAGTATTTTTTTCTTCCCCTCTTGCACATGTACACTATTAGTCAATCAAAACCCCATTCCTGAAAATCTCACATCTAAACAAACAGAAATGAAGTCATTCTCTTTGGGTCTTCCTTTTCTCACATGCACTTTTTTTTTTTTCTAAGATTTTATTTATTTATTTGACAGGCAGAGATCACAAGCAGGCAGAAAGGCAGGCAGAGAGAGAGGGGAAAGCAGGCTCCCCGCTGAGCAGAGAGCCTGATGCGGGCCGTCGATCCCAGGACTCTGGGATCATGACCTGAGCCGAAGGCAGAGGCTTTAACCCACTGAGCCACCCAGGTGCTCCTCTCATGTGCACTTTTATGCCAGACTTTTGTTTCTTGCTTACAAATCTCAGCCTTTCCCTGAAGCTAGGAAATACGTTTTAAAGGCATATTTAATGCTGTATCATCTCCAAGGGTTAGATGGCCTGGAACAGCCTCTAGTTATGCCTGTTGCCTCAGCAGAGTTAATAGCACCCTCTCCCACCCTCGAGTGTTCTGGTTTGTACAGGAAATATGGTCATTCTGTATATTATACCTCATTTTCCTCTTCTCATCCTGTTCTCCACTTCCAATTTTAACAAGTTTAATTTTTAAGGCACAGAATTATAGGTTAAATGGGGGAAGATCTAATTAGACCTCTAACCCGATTTCATACTTGGTAGTATTCAGCCTCTCTCTGAATTTTTTCGCTGAACTTATCATACCTTCAGAGTTGTTATTTTTCACTTTTAGGCATCTCTAACTTTTATGAAAACACTTCTTACCTTCAGCCTTAATTTTATTATCCTTCCCAGTCTGAAACTCAACATGTAGATTGGGGATTCCTTTCTCAATGGCAGGTTTTTGTAACGCCCGGTCTAAGGCATCCATTGTGCGTTATGCATTAACCTTTTGGATATGTAGAAGAGTATTAGATATATACTATCCTTGGGAGAATTGAGAAAATAGTTACTCAAATAACTTTTTGTATGACATGGTTCAAATGAAACTAGATTTCAAGGCTGCAAGGCTCTATCATTGACTAGCTGTATGACCTTGGAAAGTTTACTTCATCTCTTTGTGACTCGGTTTCTGGGCAGTAAAATGAAGTATGACCTCTGTCATATGGGCCATTGTGAGAATTAAATGACATATATAAAGGTCCACCAAAGCAGAGACATTATTGATCTTGCTCGACACTATTCCAACTGTTTAATATAGGTCATATCAGGCACAGAATAAGTTCTCAGTAAATATCTGAATAATGAATAAAAGCCTCTATGACATTGCCTTATACCTAGCACTCAGTAAAACATAGATGTTTCTGTCCTTTCAACCATTTTTCCTATGATCTGATTTCCAGATCACTCGCCATATATCAATCACTCTCTTATGGAAATTCTCTGATTTACCAACATTCCTCTTCAGATGTGGTTCTAACAATTCAATACTGTGTGGCGTGTGGTAACTTTGCTTTATCTGATCATAATTAGACACAAGAGTCCACTGGGAAAAAGCTAGTCTACCTGCTTACACAGAATTGGCACTTAAAAAACCCACTAATTTTCTCCCAATACCATCCTGTAAACCTTAGGAAATATATGGTTAAGAGAATCAAAGTATCAGAAAATAAGGAGTGATCAGCCAGGTAAGAGAAGAAGCAGGACAGTCCATTATGGAAAGCCATTGCAACCAATGCTATTGTTATCACGGCACCTAATGAACAGGGTATGGTGATCACCTATTTATTTATTAGCCTATCTAGAATACATTCCTGGACTGTAATTTATCTACAGTGCTCACCACCGTGAAGATCTTTAAATATTGTTGCACTGTTGAATGAGTAAAAATAAAGTTTTAGGAAAACGTTATGGTGTATTGATGAACAGCTTCCTAACAGGAGTGTGAGCCCAAATTATCCTTGTATTTCAGGACAACAGACTCAGATTAAGGAAACCGGGACTGAATGCTAGTAATAAAATGATAAATAGAAATGTAAAAACTCATTTGGAGACTTTGGAAAAAAAAAAAAAAGATCGAGAGAGAGAAAGAAACAAATGAAACTGGTTTAATCATGTGAAGAAACAGCAAATTTTAGGTTTGGTTTTTAGTACAACTGAGATTGGAGTTTGTTAGGTATTCATGAAGAAAAAGTGGAGGGAGATGGAAAAAAGAGTTAAAGACAAAATGATAGGGGCACCTGGTTGGCTCAGTGGGTTAAAGCCTCTGCCTTTGGCTCAGGTCATGATCCCCAAAGTCCTGGGATCAGGCCATCATCGGGCTGGCTCTCAGCAGGGAGCCTGCTTCCTCCTCTCTCTCTCTCTCTCTCTCTGCCTGCCTCTCTGCCTACTTGTGATTTCTGTCAAATAAAATAAATAAAATAAAAATAAATATAAAAAATAAAAAAATTAAAAAAAATAAAAAAAAAAAGACAAAATGACAGAATAAGCCTTGGGCCCTATGGAAAAAGCAGCATTTCCTTTTCACCAACTAAAGTAACTGTAACGGCAACAGTCTGGGGTAGAGAGGTAGACAGTCAAGCAAGCTCTAATTACAAGTCTCAAAGTAAGAGAATCTGCCAGGGTGGGAGAAAAGATCTGTGGAAAGCAGAGAAATTTGGGTCCGGTGTCAGGATGGAGTGCACCAGGCGTGAAAAAATGCTAACCTCTGGGAAAGGTGGTTCAACTTGGTGACTTCAGCGTAAAATCCCTTCTACCCCCTTCCTGATCTAACCACTCTGGCCGCCTAAAACCGTGGGAATTCGGAAGGTCAAGTCTCCTCCGTACTAGGCCTGCACTAGGCCGTTTTCGCAGGACCCGGACGTGTTTTTACACGACAGAGAAAATACATCCCCTGAAAATAAGACTGCCGAGGCGCCAAGGAGGTTAGAGAGGCCTTGTTTAAGAGCGAACCGAGGGGCCGGGGAGGTGTTCAGCCGAGAGGCGGGCTGCGATCACACTTCCAATGGCAACCAGCCGCTGCTGCAGCAAGCTCCTCAGGAGATCCAGTTTTACCCCGGGGGCCGGGTACGGCGAGAATCTGGCCTGGCGGCTCCGGTTCCGCCCATCGGGTTCCCTTCCTTTTATAAAGCGGGTCGGGCTCCGGCCGCCCCCACTCGCCCGACGGCTCTCGGTACGAACGCTCGGCCTCACGGCCTGCCGAGGAGCGGGTCCTGGAAGAACAGCCTCGGGCCTGGCGACGAGGAAGCTGTCTCCGGAGACCATCGCCCGCTCTAAGGCCGACGAGCTGAGGGCGCCGAGGGACGCGCGGTAGGCCCGCCGGGTCCTTTGATCGCCGGCGGACAAGGACACGTTGTTCAGCGCCATCTTCAAACACTGCCCGCAGTGTCTGTTACGTCCCTCGGTCAAGGTGGGCCCTTCGCGGCTCCACAGATCAGTCCTGGCCGTCTCGAGCGCCGCCACTCGCTACATGTTAGGCCATAACTAGAGCCGCGGCCGACCAGAGAGCCGCCTCTCACCGGTGCTCTCCTCGCGAGCATGCGCAGCGCGTCCGCGCACGGCGACGCGGGCCGGCGCGAGCGAGATTGACGTTTACGTCCGTGACGCCGGGGAGGGAGAGGACGTGGGGTTTCCGAGCGTGCGCAGTGAGTGCGACGGTGACGACCCTTCGGCCTTTTTAGGGAGGGGGCTACGCTGAGATGGGGGCGGCGGCAGCGGAAGCGGATCGTACTCTCTTTGTCGGCAACCTTGAAACTAAAGTGACCGAGGAGCTCCTTTTCGAGCTTTTCCACCAGGTCAGCGGCCGAGAGCGGGCTTTCCTTTCGCTGTGCGGCTCCCGTAGGGCCCGGCCCGACGGCCGTGCCCGCCTTGCTGGGGAAAGCGGGGCTGTGGGTCGGGGCGCCAGACGGGTGGGCCGCTTGGGGCTGCAGGTCCACCGGGAAAGCGAGGCTCTCGCTGGGTGTTGCTTGAAGGGGAAGAACCCTAGTCAGTTCGCTCCAGGTTGGTGGAGGCTTCCTCAGTGAAGCATTCCCGAGGTAAAGATTCAAGGATCCTAAGGGGCGCGGTGTGTGTGGGTTCTTCGGGGAGCCGGGCTTTTTCCTATTCCTTTGCTCATCTCCGGTTTATCTGGCTAATTAGATTTCAGTTGCTTGGTCAGTGTATGTTTTCCACTTAAGTGTTTTTTTTTTTTAAATTAATTGCAACATTAAAATATTTAAAGTACACTAAATAACTCCGTAGAAAAGCAGACTTGTAGTGTTTCAGTATTCACATCTGCATTGAAATGTGTTAAAGATTCAGAGTATCTGGTTCCCTCCAGTTCTAGTCTCTAACAACTGGTAATATTTGGTTAGTCAGTACAAAAGTGAATTTTTAGTCCAAGGAAGCCACTTTCTCTAGCTCTTGATAAACGTTACCCAGAGTGGGAAAGTGATGGATGTTGGTCACCTTGTTAAAAAGTCATAAAGCATCATGAAACGTAAACCGAGTAACTGTTTCCAGTTCCTTGTGGGCTTCCTTCCCCCAAATAAATTAATCAGGTGTTCAGTCGTATGACAGAATCTTTAACTGAGGTGGAAATCCCTGTTTGTCCATTTTTTAGATTTTTCCTGGTTATGTTTCTGTTTTTTTTTTAATTAACTTTTTACTATTTATTAACATATGTCATTAGCCCCAGGGTTTACACACTCCACAGCACTCACCATAGCCAGTACCTTCCCCAATACCCAACATTTCTGTTGTTTTTAAACGTCGTAAAATTTGAGTATTTTCTTGAAATTGCCTCATTTAAATTCCGAAGACTTTTGTTTGTTTGTTTGTTTGTAGGCGGGGCCGGTAGTAAAAGTGAAAATTCCAAAAGATAAGGATGGTAAACCAAAACAGTTTGCATTTGTGAATTTCAAACATGAAGTGTCTGTTCCTTATGCAATGAATCTACTTAATGGAATCAAACTTTTCGGGAGGCCCATCAAAATTCAATTTAGATCAGGTAACTGTTCAGTGTTACTGTTTGGGGAGAGTTTTTCTTTGCTGCTTTGTTCCTTTTTAATTTTATTATTCAGTTTTAAAGAGCCTCTTGTTGGATGAAAATACCTTAAGCTTTGTGGATAGTAAGCTTTACATATCCCAGTTTAGTACTGATAACGTCGACAGTATGGATTTTGAAAGTTGTCATTTTAAAATTAAGTTTGGGTTACTGAAAAGAGCATAAACTTTGTTGTTAGAAAGACTTGGGTTTGGGTTCGTGCTCTGAAAGGGGCGGGGATTGTTTTTTTAACATACTTTAACCGACTGCTTTGTGACTGGCATTTACAAATTTTGATTCTGGGTGACGTGAGGAGGAAACTTTCCATGTATCCAGTTAAAATTTAGTGTGGGCATCAGAATATTATGGCCAGATTGGATGTTTGTACATTAGATAGTACTTATTTGGAACCCTTTGTTTTGGACACTTAAAATTTTCACTCTGATGAAACTATAAAGCAGTCCTCTGAAATTCGAGCTTTTGTCTTGTAGCGTCTGTCTACCATTTGGCATGATTTAGGGGAGGGATAAAATTTAACTTGAGTTTTCTGTCAAGGATAATTTCTCAAATTATTTCATTTTAGGAAGTAGCCATGCCTCACAGGATGTCAGTTTGTCATATCCCCAGCATCATGTTGGGAATTCAAGCCCTACATCTACATCTCCTAGCAGGTAACATTTTGGACCTATTAAAATCATTTATTGGAAAATTTTTTTTAGGTATTCTCTCAAGACATACTGAGGGATTTGTTCCTTTTTTAAGTTCCCACCTCTTTATTTTTCTGCTATATTATTCATATTTTGGATTATAATTAGGTATCTATTTAAGGGGACTATAAACAGACTTATATAGTACCCCTAAAATAGATACATATGTACCTATAATTAGGTTCATTTGTGAAGATGTATACCCACAGCCACATATTTAATATGTAACTGAAAATTTCCCGGAACATTACTCTCTCTACTCTCAGTTTACTCTATTTTCTATTTTATTTTCTTTTAAAAATTCAAGTTAGTTTTCAGCACTGATTGGTTTTTACTTGCATTTTAAAAATAGCTATCAGTAAACAGACTAGTGGACTAAGAGTTTATAGAGTTAGATTCTAGGTCTGCCTCTCCGATCGTGAAATTTTGAAGTAGTCTCATTTCTCTGGTCTTGTCCTCCCATTTGTAAGGAAAAGCTGAATTGAATGGTCTCCAGAGTCTCTTCCAGCTACTGAGGCTTAGAAAAGGTTCCACATTTATACTAAATAATTTTATTTGCTTTGGGAAGTGCGATCTTTTACCAGAGACATTTTTTCCCTGGTTTATCAGTAGAGCTATTTATCAGTTATAATGGGCTTCATTCAAGAAAGCAATATCTGTCATGGGTCAGGTCCTTCACCAAGTCGTTTGCATTTATGGTCTTGTTTCTCTCAGCACTCTTAGGTAGGGATTATTGTTAGTTCTGCCTGGCCTGTGAAGAAAGTGAGGATTGGATATTAACGTGGTCTTGTTTCTCTCAGCACTCTTAGGAGGTAGGGATTATTGTTAGTTCTGCCTGGCCTGTGAAGAAAGTGAGGATTGGATATTAACGTGAGTTTGAATTGCTCATGAGCAGTGGGCTGGGACAGAAACCCAGGCATTGTGACTGAGCCCCAGCCACTGTGATAGGCTTCCTAGTGAAGGTGTAAAGTCTGTAGGAAGACCATGGATTTTGTGACTACCTTTAATAAGTTCTGTAAAGAGAGCATAGAATGTGGTTGTAGAAAGGTTTGACAGGGAGAGATGATATAAATGAATGAGGAACTAAAAGAGGCGAATGTATCTAGATCATAATGAAAGAAAAATAGAGTAGTAGGTCATGTTGGTGAAGTAGAATGAGGGTCTTTTACTTTTTTTTTTTTTTTTTTGGATTTTATTTATTTATTTGACAGACAGAGATCACAAGTAGGCAGAGAGGCAGGCAGAGAGAGAGGAGGAAGCAGGCTTCCTGCCGAGCAGAGAGCCCGATGCGGGACTCGATCCCAGGACCCTGGGATCATGACCTGAGCCAAAGGCAGAGGCACTCAGCCACCCAGGTGCCCGGGTATTTTTTTTTTAAGTTTTTTATTTTTTATTAATATATAATGTATTATTATACATTATATATTAATATAATGTATTATTAATATATAATTATATATAATTATATATTATATATTATAATTATTATATATTATATATTATATATATTATTAATATATATGTATATGTATGTATTATTATACATTATATATTAATATAATGTATTATTAGCCCCAGGGGTACGGGTCTGTGAATTGCCAGGTTTACACACTTCACAGCACTCACCATAGCACATACCCTCCCCAATGTCCATCACCAAACCACCCTCTCCCAAACCCCTCCCCCCAGCAACCCTCAGTTTGTTTTGTGAGATTAAGAGTCTTAATGTTTGTCTCCCTCCCAATCCCATCTTGTTTCATTTTTTCCTTCCTTACTCCCCAAACCCCCCATGTTGCCTCTCAAATTCTTCGTATCAGGGAGATCATATGATAATTGTCTTTCTCTGATTGACCTATTTTGCTCAGCATAATACCCTCTAGTTCCATCCACATCGTTGCAAAAGGCAAGATTTCATTTCTTTTGATGGCTGCATAGTATTCCATTGTATGTATGTATGTGTGTATATATTTATACATACACACATCCCACGTCTTTATCCATTCATCTGTTGATGGACATCTAGACTGAAAGAGGGTCTTTCTTATAGGCCATAGTTACAATTTGGGAATTTTCTCCTAAAAACAGAAGAAAGACACTGAAATGTTTTCAGTAGGATAGTAATAGGAACACGTTTATAGTTTAACAAGTTATTTGCTGTGGGAGAATGGATTGGAGGGGACAAGGCTGAAAATAGACCAGTTGAGAAGCTATTGATAGCAAAGTATTGGTATTAGTAGCAAGACAGCAAGGAAGTTATTAGGGTGAGGTTGTTGGTTTGGATTAGGGTGGTGCCAAGAGCTGGAGTGAAGTGGCTTTGGTAGGAGAAGATAACTGGCAAGTAAAATTGCAAGAAAGAATAGTGTAAGAAGGGTATCCTCTTAGCATCCTTTCTTGCCAACTGAAATTGTGTTTAAATGCTTCTCAGTACATTTGGAACTTGAAGCATTTCCAACCACTTTTTTTTTTTTTTTAATTTCTTTTCAGTGTAACATCCAACCACTTTTGTAGACTCTTCAAAGATATCTCAGGTGGAGGAAAAAAGTTTACCTCCCAGAGAATTTCTTTGGAAAAATATATACAAGTAAATAAGTTGTTTTTAGTTTAAGGTTAGAGTGCCCATCATTTTTGTAAGGAAATTTATACTTTTTACTCCTTGAACATACACAGGTCTAACCTGATTTAAGAAAACCCAAAATGAAAAGATCTAAACTATGAGACAAATCAATTAGTGATTTGATTCTAAGTATTGTAAAATTTAAAGCATTTGATAAAGTGGCTTTCTGTAGAGCAAGCTACTTTTTTAGGAATTGAGGAATAAGGTATAATTTCTGAAAACTAATATCCAGTTTATGTTATTAAAGAACTCTTCATTCCTTGCTCCCCCAGACCTGTTCTTCCTCCCTATCACAGTAAATGTCTATGTAATTGCTCAAGGCCCAAATCTAGATTTTATCCTTTATTTTTCTTTTCCCCCCTCATCTGTCATATCTAGTAGAACAAATCCTTTTCATCTTAGTTTTCAACCTAGGCCTCTGCACTAGCCCTGGGATTGATGGGTTTGGTTTTTTTTCTGTGAAGGGCCATATAGTTAATGTTTCAGACTTTGCAGGCCCAGCCACTGTAATAGGCTGCCTAGTGAAGGTGTAAAGTCTACAGAAGACAAATGTGTGTCGTGTCATCCGTGGAGGGGGGGTGGGGCTGGGGGAGGTGAAAGGTCCTTGTGACACTACATAGATAAAACAGACACAGGAGTGTTAAAGAAATGGGATTTGGACCACAGGCTCTATAGCTTGCTCTCCCCGTGCTAATTCTTCCCTCAGCTGCAATGTTTTGCTTCCAAGTAATCTTGTTACTCCGTTTTTACTTCAAATGTGCCTCCTTTTTAGAAAGACAATCCCTGACCAGCTGAGCTAAAATAGAATATCAATTATTATATCACTGTTACAAGGTGAAGTTGTTTTACTATCTGAATCCTTACTCTTATCCATGAGAGCAAATAGATATGTTGTCTTTCTTGTTCATTCCTACCTTTGACACTGTGTCTTGCTCATGATTGGTATATAGTAAGTATTTGTTAAATGGATGATTATATGTTGGTTGTTTTACTCTTCACAGATATGAAAGGAGTGTGGATAGCATGAGTCCATCAGTACAGATAATTCAGAGATCTTTCTCTTCTCCAGAAAATTTTCAGAGACAAGCAGTGGTAGGTTGATTTTCTTCTTTTCTTTTCTCTTCTTTTCTTTTCTTCTCTACTTTTTTAAAAAATATTTCATTTATTCATTTGAGAGAGAGAGAGCACAAGCAGGGGGAAGGGCAGAGGGAGAAGGAGAAGCGCAGACTCCCTGCTGAGTTGGGAGCCCGATGTGGTGCTTGATCCCAGGACCTGGGGATCATGACCTGAGCCGAAGGCCGACGCTTAACCAACTGAGCCACCCAGGTGCCCCTTCTTTCCCTTCCCTTTCCTCTTCTTTTTCTTAATAAACTAGTAATTCCTTTTATTTAAAAAAAACTAGCACACACCCACAGACACAAAACTAGCACATATCTGTGTTGTACTCTTTACTTACAGGTACAAACTATTCTCTTAGTAGCCATGAAAAATACCATGCAGTCTTCTACAAATAGAGTAATTTCTAAGATATTACCTAAAATGTTAGTTTCATGAGGAGTAAATTATCAAATTCTTGAATTTAAAACAAATTAGACCTTGATTAGCATCTACTCATGCTAGAATTGGGGTTACCCAAATGTCTAGACTAAGCCTTTTGTAGCTTACACATACACACACACTCATACTCACTCAAATGAAACCCCTAGAAAAATAAAAATAATTACAATGTATTGATTATGTAATATGTGTCAGGCAGTATCACCCAAAAGTGTTACATACATTATTTATTCTTTAGGGTAACTGAGATACAGCCTATTGTAATACATAGGAAAATTAAGGGTGAGAAAGGTCATAAATTAGCAAGTAGCTGGATTGAGATTACAATTGTAGCCTGCTAAAATTTGAAACCATGCTTTGAAGTGTTACCCAGAAAATTTAATGAGGAAGAGCAACACAATAAAAATAATTAAAGTAGAAAACCCAGAAAATCATGATTAAGTTACTCAATAAAATATCACATTTCAAAAAGAAAATACATTTGATAACTGTTTAGTGCAACAGACTGTGGTGTACACTTGCAAATACAATTTAGTTTATGAAGTTTTCAAAATTGTCAGAAGTCTTTCATCTTAAAAAGACAAAAGCAGAAGTTCATGATTGCTTTTACCACTAATTTGTGGACCTGGAGGGTTTTAAACTCAGCTTCTCAAAAATAGTCACATTTGATATATTGAATGCTTGCTGAAACATTCATTCTTTCAACATGCAGTCTAGATTTTTACCAGCTAATTAACATCATGCTACGAACTTCCATCTCTCTCACGGCTGAAAAATAAAATTTATGCCTCATTTACTTTCCACTACAAATAAACTAAAATGTACTTCTTGAGACATTCTTTTTCGGCCTAAATGTGACTTATAACTGAAGTTAAATAATGTTTCTAGAGGTTGCGCAGAAATAAAACTCAGACATCTTCAACTTGAACTTCTAAAACCCCCCAAAACTTAGAATGTTCAAATAGGGGTGCCTGGGTGGCTCATTTGGTTAAGCATCTGACTTTTAATTTCAGCTCAGATCAGGATCTCAGGGTCATGAGATTGAGCCCCATGTTCAGCTCTGCACTCAGTGGGGAGTCTGCATGAGATTCTCTCCTGCCCCTGTCCTTACTGGCACATGTGTGCGCACTCACACATGCATGTTTGCTCGCTCATGCTCTCTCTCTCTAAAATAAATGTTTAAAAAATTGTTTAGGGGCGCCTGGGTGGCTCAGTGGGTTAAAGCCTCTGTCTTCGGCTTGGGTCATGGTCTCAGGGTCCTGGGATCAAGCCATGCATTGGGCTTTCTGCTCGGCGGGGAGCCTGTCCCCCCATCCCACCCCCCGCCTCTGCCTGCCTCTCTGCCTACCTGTGATCTCTCTCTGTCAAATAAATAAATAAAATCTTTAACAAAAAAAAATGTTCAAATGATTCTTAGGTAATTTCCTAAGTTTTAGTTAGACTAGCGTGATCTCCATACGTTGATCACCCATTTTGATTTTCACTGGGCTGAAGAATATATTCAACAGATTGAAGATAAGTAGAACAACTGCATTTCACATCTGTATTTTTCTTGAGCCGTTATGGAGGGTTGTATGTGTGTGTTTCAAGGACTGGACGTGTCTTCTCTGATATTCTTGGAACCTGTGCTCAAGGGCTTCTTATAATACATTGTCCTTAATGCTTAAAAACAGTACTTAAATACATTGATTGGAGTCTTGATTTCCTCTTGATTTCCATTTTTTTTTTTTGTAATAATGAGACTGTGCGACTAGGCTTAAAATCTTTGGTGTGTTTTACGATTCCATCTTTGTCTCCAGTCTTTCATTTTTTTTTTTTCATTTTGTCACGACGTCCTGTATTTTTTTCTTTTTCTTGAGTTCATTTCTTCTTTTCTCTTTGCCCAAATCACAGTGTTGGCTTGTGACCCCTCAACCTTTTGCAGGTCTGCAAAATACAAATACAAGTAAACTTAACTTGAGGGACCAGTATAAAGGGAAGTCAGCTTTTCTGTACACACCACAGATTGTGGTGTAGGCTTTTTTAAAAAAAAAAAACATCGCTGGCTAATACTTAACCACGGGCAGAATTTGGGGACCACTGGTCTGGTCAGTTTGTACTTGTCTCCATTTTCTTCTTGCTAGCCCATCTCTCACACTGTTTCTAAATGAATGTTAATAACTCTGTTTTGCTTATCTTCCTGATAATTTGATTTTCCATCATTTGCAAGATAAAGTCTGAATTCCCTAGCCTAGTTATGAGGCACTGCCATCATATGGTGCCAATAAAGCTTTCTAGCCTAACTGTCCATTATTCACTGCTTATGAGATCTCTAATCAGTCAGAATTCTTGCTGTTCTACAAACTCCTTCTGTTTCCTTATTTTCTTCGTGCAATTTCCCTTCCTTGGTATACTTCCCCATTAAAATATTCCATCCATACTTTAATACTTAGATAATATGCCACCTTCATGAAGCCTTTCCTAATGATCCTGAGCTCTTGGCTCTTTATGTGTCCACCAGACAATGATTTACATTATAATCATTTGTATGGCCTCTTCTAAGTTGTATTCTTGAGGGCAAGGAGTAGTTATGTACAGATATCATGCAGGTATACACTGGAGCGAACAAAGCCATCATGTGTTTTTTTACTTCAAGTTCTGTTTAACCTAAGATCCATCTGGGCAAGAGTAATTTTGCTTTCCCATCATTATCTGTTTGGTTCACTGTGGCTAAGTATATATATTGGCTTTGATACCTAGAAATACTTGGCAGTTAACATTTCTTTCTTTTTCTCTTCTCTTAGATGAACAATGTTCTGAGACAGATGTCCTATGGTGGGAAATTTGGTTCTCCACATCTGGATCCATCAGGATTTTCCCCATCACATAGTCACAGTTTTAATCAGTCTTCAAGCTCCCAGTGGCGCCAAGATACACCATCATCACAGCGTAAAGTCAGACAGAATTCTCATCCTTACATACCAGATAGACATCATAGCCGTGAACAACGTTACACTGATCATGGGTCTGACCATCATTACCGAGGAAACAGAGATGACTACTTCTATGAAGATAGGAATCCTGATGGCTGGAGCCATGACTATGATAACAGAAGAGACAGTAGTCGAGATGGAAAATGGCGTTCATCTCGACATTAACAAGTACTAAAAGGACAATGTTATAGGGTCATTCTAGGTCCCTTTGGCTAAATTGACCTGGAAATGTTTTGTTAAACTGTACAGAGCAGCTTTACAAGTTGCCACGTTACTTTATAAAATTTTTAAAACCTATAGCTACAGTCTAATACAGAAATAAGAATTGTGGTTCCCGTTTTATTACATTTTAGTAACCTTTCACCTCAGGGTTTTATGAAGAGGAAAGGGTTTTTTTGCAAAAGAAAGTGCCACAATTCCTAATCATTTTAGATAAATGAGGAAGGGATGTATTATATGGGTTGGTTGTATTATAAAGCAAATATTTTAATTATCTGTTATCTTTTTGTATTGCAAGAAGTTTCTTGTTAGTGAATCAGATTTTGGTTTGTATAATAGAAAACATTCAAGTTCTGATAGTCTGAATTGACTAGCAGTATTTTGTTAAATGAGAAAATGTAATTTCAGTGATTCATTTTACATAGAAAGCATATTGGTAAAGTTTGGGGATAAATCATTTGACTTCGTAGGAGAATTTTTAGTGTAAGTTCTGTGACATGATCTTTTGAGTTTTACTCTAATTGAACATAAAATTGTAAATTTATACGTGCTATCTCATTCTAAAATTTTAGAATTTGCTCATTAAATCAAGTTTGATGTATAACTGAAGTCACTCAGGAAGTTAAATATTTCTAAATGTATTTTTTTACATTAAAATACAGTGTTAATATAAATCCCCCTTTTCAGGAAGAACACAAATGTAAATGCATAGTCAGATAAAAATGGTAAAATGTTTTACTGAAAGTATGCTTTTTTGGGGGGAAAAAAGTTCCTGAAGCCTTTAAGAGCTGCCTCTGTCATTCAAATTTTAAAAATTTTAACATTTTCAAAGTGCCCAGGACATGTTATAAGGATATGCTTTATTATGGAGATTGTACAGCTTGCTTTTTTGTTTGCACATTTGAAAGAATTTAGTCTTAAACATTTTCTGATTTAAAAATTTTAAAATCTTGTTTAGCAGAACTTTTGTGTACCAAGATGCTGTTTTCCCCTTTGTTGTAGAACTTGTTTATAAAAATGTTATTCCTTGAAAATTTTTGATCCTTTTTAGTAGTAACCACAGCATTTGTACTCTGTTGCTTTTTAATATATTGAAAACATAAAAAGGAGTGTGCCTTATTTTTTTTGACATCACTAACTTTGAAGACATTGTGTACAACATTAGCAGGATGCTTCAGTTCAGTGATTGCCTAATGTTAAGAACATCTGTTCTTAGAGCATCCTGAAATACTCCTTTTGTACATATAGAACTTAATGTTTTACAATCAGATCTTCAGTGACATGATTATAGAGCGTTATGAACTGTTACCCTCCTTGAGAGTTCACATACTCTCAGGTCTTCCCTATTTGTAAATAAAATGCATGGAGTTTTAGATAAATGGAGCCATTTACTCAACCTAGAGGGTGTTTGGATCAAAAATTTCTCTTTGCTTTAGCATTTTAATAGAAGGAGTTGTTTCCAATGAGCTTATTCTCAGGTATTTTACCTTTATGATATTCGGTAGCTTTTACAGAGATTCACAAAGATTAATTCTGGTTTATTGTAGTTTATCTGTGGGTCAGATCTTTTCATATTGATTCATAGGTAATCCTGCTTCAGAATGATCCTTTTATGTTTTAATGACGGGACGCACCCCTTTTGAGGTTCCAGTGAATCTTTTTCACTTCAACCTCAGCCAGTTGAGGGTAATCAAACTAATAAATATCCTGTGTAAGAGGATCAAACAAGACAGCGTCAACAAACTGAATATGTTAGATGATTCACGTGGGTTTGGGAGCTGCAGTAGAAAGGAGTGGTTTTTGTGGGAGCAGTTTCTCCCCAGATGTTCATGAGCAACCATTTCTTACAATGTTCTGTAGAATAAGGGTTCTGTAATCAAGTGTTTTGGTAAATGTTGGGGACTATAACTGGGTGGCTTTCTTTAGTGACAACACCATAAAGTTTCTGACAAGTACTGCAGTAAAGAAATCCTTAGGCTTACCGTAGTATTTTCCAAACTTACTTGACCCTTATTTGACCCTTTTGTACATAATACATATTAAGGTACTAAGACTTCCAAAGAATCTGACTCAACCCTTCTCCATCCAATCAACCAACATTTTTTATACTACTTTGTAGTCATGCCATGTAGGTCCATAATCCTCACACCAATTGCCATGATCCAAGAAGGGGTAGTCCTCAATAGGATTATTCCAACAGCATCCAATGTGCCAGTTTATGTATTACAATAGTACCCTGTGTTTCTCTTGTCATAGCCTTATACTGTGTTATAATTTTCTTTTTATCTGTATCTCTTTAGGTAACTCCATGAAGGCAGCATATCTTACCACTGAATTCTCAGTATCCAGTGCCTGGCACTACAGTAATACTTGGTAAATTTTTGATGAATAAATGAATGTATGTCAAATAATTGAATAAAAAAGGGAGGCTTCAGCATAGTAGTGTTTTTTTAATCAGTTTCCTAATCCTGAACCATCATTGTGTCCTGTTATAATTACGCCTTTAATATACTCTAGAATTCTATCTTTCAAAAATGTTAAGATTTAGATATGTACTCAGGTTTTCTTTTAAAAATTGTTATCTTAGTTTGGTTTGGGAATTATAGTTCTGCTAGTTTTATGGAATGAGTTGGTAAGCTTATCTTTTTCTATGCCCTGGCGAGAAAATTGAATAATATAGGAATTATGTTAATTTAAGACTTGAACTCCTAAAACAGTCTTAGAAGTAAATGATTTACCCCCCACCCCATTTTCCTTTATTAACCATGGGGAAAACTATTTGTTTCCTCTTTTCTCAGAAATCAATTTGAATAGTTTCTACCTTTCTAAAAAAAAAATCAACCATATCTTTCCAAATTAATTGATAGACAGTTGCACTTGGCATTTCTTTTTTTTTTAAATTTTATTTTTTATAAACATATAATATATTTTTATCCCCAGGGGTACAGGTTGCACATGGTATTTCTTACAATTTTTGTTAAACTCTTCCTCCAGTTAGAGTCCAGTTTTAGTTCTGATCTATTTTACTTTCCCTCCTACAACCTGGTCAGACTTATTAGAGGCTATGCTGTTACACAGTTTACATTTATATATATAAAAGCTCCTCACTGCATTTTTTCTTTTTTTTTTTTTAAGATTTATGTATTTATTTGACAGAGAGAGCAGGGGGAGAGGCAGGCAGAGGGAGAGCCCAGCAGGGGCTTGATCCCAGGACCCTGGGATCATGACCTGAGCTAAAGGCAGACACTTAACTGACGGAGCCAAGCAGGTGTCCTGTTTTTGTTTTTGAAACATTCTCTTTTAAAGGTATTTAAATAAAAATCATAGATATTATTCCAGTACTTACCATTTCTGGAGCTCTTCGTGCCTCTGTGTGCATCCGTTTATCCGTCTGCTATTCTACCTGAAGTGTTCTGGATATCTCTTACAGTGCGGGCTTGCTGGTGATGAATTCTTTTAGCTTTCATCTCTGAAGACGTATTTTTCACCCTTGTTTCTGGAATATCTTTTTGTTGGGTACAGAACTCTAACTTGACAGGCTTTTTTTTTTTTTTTTCCTTTCATTACTTCAAAAATGTGGCTCCACTGTCATCCTGCTTTTATTTTTTCCTGTAAGAAATATGCTGTCAGGTATATAATGTGTCATTTTTCTCTGGCTGGCTTTGAGCAATTGGATGAAAAATGTGTCTTACTACAGTTTTTTTTTTTTTTTTCATGTCCTTTTTGCTTGGAGTTCATTGAGCTTCATGGATCTGCAGGTTTATAGTTTTCATCAAAATTGGAAACATTTTGGCCATTATTAAAAAAAATGTTTTGTCCTCACTTTCCTCTTGGGAAACTCCAACTACAGTTATATGAGACCATTTGATGTGATCCCATAGCTCACGGATACACTATTTATTTTTTAAATCATTTTTCCTCTGTTTCATTTTGGATAGTTGTATTACTAGGTCTTCAAGCCTCCTTGTCTTTTTTTTTCCCTGCAGTGTCTAGTCAGCAATTACTTCCAATAGAATCTTCATCTTAGACATTGTAGTTTTTCTCTCTGCAAGTTTGATTGACATCATTTCTGATTGTTCCTCATTTTTTCTTCAGCTCTAGTGAGGTACAATTGACAAAACTGTAAGCTATTTAAAGTATACAACATGATTCACTGTACTTGTGAGAGGGTTCTCACCCCCCAACCCTGCCCCGAGTAATTAACATATGACTTGGACTATTTTTTTACATCTTCACTATCCTTACTTAAATTTTCTTTTTTTTTTTTAAAGATTTTATTTATTTGACACAGAAAAAGAGATCACAAGTAGGCAGAGAGGCAGGCAGAGAGGGAGAAGCAGTCTCCCTGCCGAGCAGAGAGCCCTATGTAGGGCTCGATTCCAGGACCTTGAGATCGGAACCTGAGCTGAACACAGAGGCTCAACCCACTGAGCCACCCAGACGCCCCCCGCCCCCTGACTATCTTCACTTAAATTTTCAACAAATGGAATAAAGTTACAGTAATTTTTAATGTTCTTGCCTGCTAATTCTAATATTTTCCTCAGTTCTCAGTTGGTCTCTGTTGGTTCACTGTCATTACTGGATGTACTTTCCTGCTTCTTTGCATGCCTTTTCATTTTGATTGATTGCTAGGCCATATGAATTTTACCTTATTGGATACTTGATAGTTTGTACTTCTGTAAGTATTCTTGAGCTTTGTTCTGGGACACAAATTTGTTACTTGTAAACCATTGTATCCAGGACATGATTAAAGATTTGTTAGGCAGAATTTGAGAACTAGTTAGGATTAACTCACCCCATTACTGAGGCAAAAGTCTTGAATACTGTTAACAGGTGCCTCATGAATTACCAAGACTTTCAGTCTGACTAGTGGGAACAGATACTGTTCCTGGTCCTATGTGAGTGCTGAGTAGTATCCCTCTGATTTTTGGGAGCAATTCTTTTCTCCACCTTAGATAATTTCTTCAAACATATATGCTGCTCATTACTCTCATGGATACTGGAAGAAACTTGCAGATCTCTGAGAGTTTTCTCCTGGGCAACTTAACCTTCTTCAGTCCTGTGTCCTGGACATTCTAGCTGGCTTGGTTTCCCTAGAT